TCTAGTTCAGTTCTAGTTCAGTTCTAGTTCAGTTCTAGTTCAGTTCTAGTTCAGTTCTAGTTCAGTTCTAGTTCAGTTCTAGTTCAGTTCTAGTTCAGTTCGTTCAGTTCTAGTTCAGTTCTAGTTCAGTTCTAGTTCAGTTCTAGTTCAGTTCTAGTTCAGTTCTAGTTCAGTTCTAGTTCAGTTCTAGTTCAGTTCTAGTTCAGTTCTAGTTCAGTTCTAGTTCAGTTCTAGTTCAGTTCTAGTTCAGTTCTAGTTCAGTTCTAGTTCAGTTCTAGTTCAGTTCTAGTTCAGTTCTAGTTCAGTTCTAGTTCAGTTCTAGTTCAGTTCTAGTTCAGTTCTAGTTCAGTTCTAGTTCAGTTCTAGTTCAGTTCTAGTTCAGTTCTAGTTCAGTTCTAGTTCAGTTTAGTTCAGTTCTAGTTCAGTTCTAGTTCAGTTCTAGTTCAGTTCTAGTTCAGTTCTAGTTCAGTTCTAGTTCAGTTCTAGTTCAGTTCTAGTTCAGTTCTAGTTCAGTTCTAGTTCAGTTCTAGTTCAGTTTAGTTCAGTTCTAGTTCAGTTCTAGTTCAGTTCTAGTTCATTTCTAATTAAGTTCTAGTTCAGTTCTGTTTCAGTTCTAGTTCAGTTCTAGTTCAGTTCTAGTTCAGTTCTAGTTCAGTTCTAGTCAGTTCTAGTTCAGTTCTAGTTCAGTTCTAGTTCAGTTCTAGTTCAGTTCTAGTTCAGTTCTAGTTCAGTTCTAGTTCAGTTCTAGTTCAGTTCTAGTTCAGTTCTAGTTCAGTTCTAGTTCAGTTCTAGTTCAGTTCTAGTTCAGTTCTAGTTCAGTTCTAGTTCAGTTCTAGTTCAGTTCTAGTTCAGTTCTAGTTCAGTTCTAGTTCAGTTCTAGTTCAGTTCTAGTTCAGTTCTAGTTCAGTTCTAGTTCAGTTCTAGTTCAGTTCTAGTTCAGTTCTAGTTCAGTTCTAGTTCAGTTCTAGTTCAGTTCTAGTTCAGTTCTAGTTCAGTTCTAGTTCAGTTCTAGTTCAGTTCTAGTTCAGTTCTAGTTCAGTTCTAGTTCAGTTCTAGTTCAGTTCTAGTTCAGTTCTAGTTCAGTTCTAGTTCAGTTCTAGTTCAGTTCTAGTTCAGTTCTAGTTCAGTTCTAGTTCAGTTCTAGTTCAGTTCTAGTTCAGTTCTAGTTCAGTTCTAGTTCAGTTCTAGTTCAGTTCTAGTTCAGTTCTAGTTCAGTTCTAGTTCAGTTCTAGTTCAGTTCTAGTTCAGTTCTAGTTCAGTTCTAGTTCAGTTCTAGTTCAGTTCTAGTTCAGTTCTAGTTCAGTTCTAGTTCAGTTCTAGTACAGTTCTAGTTCAGCTATAGTTGTAGTTCTGTTTTAGTTCTGTTCAGTTCGAATTCAGTCTGCTTCAGTTATCGTTCAGATTGTTTTATTTTTATTCTAATATGTATTTAAGCTAGTGAAAAAATATCTAATTTGTTTCTATACTTAAACACTAAGGTCATTAAAGGTTATTTTCCTGAGATTAAAATAAATAGTAAGTTAAGTATAACCATTTTGAGATGATGAGGATGATGTTGATCTTACCTGTAACAATGATTTTCCCACTCTTTCGCCCATTTCTTGCTGTGTAATTGTTGCTGTAGATTAGAAAAGTTTTGTGTTCAGAAAACAACTGCATGCTACACAATGGGAAACCTTTACTACCTGCACTTTATTTTTGTTCTTAAAGATAAAGAATAAAAAATACCAGTTTTAAAAATAACAAAATACCATAATAAATTACCAACAATTTTGACTTTTATGACGGTCTTCTTGTGTTCTTTAAAATGCATCTTTCTTTTTCACATTTTCTCGTGTTAAACTCACTTCTTGTCTCTACGCTCACTCATCTTTAAATAGGAAAAACATGTTTTACTCTTTAAGGGGGTTGACTTCTCTTATGTTGTGTTTATTTTAAAGAAGAGAACATCGATCGCTAACATTAATCTATCCAACGATATTAATAATTGCTTAATTGTTAATTTCTTGAATATTGATTGATTTCATACGATTTTTACACAAGTGCAAATTGATTGCTAATTTTTTTCTGTAGTTTTATTTCTTTTGCAAAATTAAATAGATTTTGTTTTTTTTATTGAGATTTTTATGTCACTTCTAATCAGTTAAAATAGTCTATTTATTGTTTATTTATTTTCTACACTTACATATATTTTTTTTTATTTTATTATAACAAAGGCAACATTGAAAATTCGCTTTACTGTTAATAAATTCAATTAATTAAAACAATTTAAAGTCTTTTGATAAGAATTTATTTAATGATTTATATATGTATATGTACATTTACTATGACGTACGTTATTGTTAGTGTCACAGACTGCAAATTTATTAAAAACTGAATCTAGTACAAGAATTGCAGGACTTATGTTTTCAAAATATTCAAACTTTGTGTTTAATTTGAGACCCAGTTCGGTTGTAGTTCAGTTCTAGTGCAGTTCCAGTTCAATTCTAGTTCAGTTCTAGTTCAGTTCTAGTTCAGTTCTAGTTCAGTTCTAGTTCAGTTCTAGTTCAGTTCTAGTTCAGTTCTAGTTCAGTTCTAGTTCAGTTCTAGTTCAGTTCTAGTTCAGTTCTAGTTCAGTTCTAGTTCAGTTCTAGTTCAGTTCTAGTTCAGTTCTAGTTCAGTTCTAGTTCAGTTCTAGTTCAGTTCTAGTTCAGTTCTAGTTCAGTTCTAGTTCAGTTCTAGTTCAGTTCTAGTTCAGTTCTAGTTCAGTTCTAGTTCAGTTCTAGTTCAGTTCTAGTTCAGTTCTAGTTCAGTTCTAGTTCAGTTCTAGTTCTAGTTCTAGTTCAGTTCTAGTTCAGTTCTAGTTCAGTTCTAGTTCAGTTCTAGTTCAGTTCTAGTTCAGTTCTAGTTCAGTTCTAGTTCAGTTCTAGTTCAGTTCTAGTTCAGTTCTAGTTCAGTTCTAGTTCAGTTCTAGTTCAGTTCTAGTTCAGTTCTAGTTCAGTTCTAGTTCTAGTTCAGTTCCAGTTCAGTTCTAGTTCAGTTCTAGTTCAGTTCTAGTTCAGTTCTAATTCAGTTCTAGTTCAGTGCTAGTTCAGTGCTAGTTAAGTTCTAGTTCAGTTTTAGTTCAGTTTTAGTTCAGTTCTAGTTCACATCTAGTTCAGTTCCAGTTCAGTTCGAGTTCATTTCTAGTTCAGTTCTAGTTCAGTTCTAGTTCAGTTCTAGTTCAGTTCTAGTTCAGTTCTAGCTCAGTTCTAGTTCAGTTCTAGTTCAGTTCTAGTTCAGTTCTAGTTCAGTTCTAGTTCAGTTCTAGTTCAGTTCTAGTTCAGTTCTAGTTCAGTTCTAGTTCAGTTCTAGTTCAGTTCTAGTTCAGTTCTAGTTCAGTCAGTTCTAGTTCAGTTCAGTTTTAGTTCAGTTCTAGTTCAGTTCTAGTTCAGATCTAGTTCAGTTCTAGTCATTTCTAGTTCAGTTCTAGTTCAGTTCTAGTTCAGTTCTAGTTCAGTTCTAGTTCAGTTCTAGTTCAGTTCTAGTTCAGTTCTAGTTCAGTTCAGTTTTAGTTCAGTTCTAGTTCAGTTCTAGTTCAGATCTAGTTCAGTTCTAGTTCATTTCTAGTTCAGTTCTAGTTCAGTTCTAGTTCAGTTCTGGTTTAGTTCTAGTTCAGTTCTAGTTCTAGTTCAGTTCTAGTTCTAGTTCAGTTCCAGTTCAGTTCAGTTCTAGTTCAGTTCAGTTCTAGTTCAGTTCTAGTTCAGTTCTAGTTCAGTTCTAGTTTCAGTTCTAGTTCAGTTCTAGTTCAGTTCTAGTTCAGTTCTAGTTCAGTTCTAGTTCAGTTCTAGTTTAGTGCTAGTTCAGTGCTAGTTCAGTTCTAGTTCAGTTTTAGTTCAGTTTTTAGTTCAGTTCTAGTTCACATCTAGTCCAGTTTCAGTTCAGTTCGAGTTCAGTTCGAGTTCAGTTCTAGTTCAGTTCTAGTTCAGTTCCATTAAGTTCTAGTTCAGTTCTAGTTCAGTTCTAGTTCAGTTCTAGTTCAGTTCTAGTCAGTTCTAGTTCAGTTCTAGTTCAGTTTCTAGTCAGTTCTAGTAGTCAGTTCTAGTTCAGTTCTAGTTCAGTTCTAGTTCAGTTCTAGTATCAGTTCTAGTTCAGTTCTATTTCAGGTCTATTTCAGGTCTAGTTCAGTCCTAGTTCACTTCCTAGTTCAGTTCAAGTTCAATTCTAGTTCAGTTCTAGTTCAGGTCTAGTTCAGTTCTAGTTCAGTTCTTGTTCAGTTCTAGTTCAGTTCTAGTTCAGTTCTAGTTCAGTTCTAGTTCAGTTCTAGTTCAGTTCTAGTTCAGTTCTAGTTCAGTTCTAGTTCAGTTCTAGTTCAGTTCTAGTTCAGTTCTAGTTCAGTTCTAGTTCAGTTCTAGTTCAGTTCTAGTTCAGTTCTAGTTCAGTTCTAGTTCAGTTCTAGTTCAGTTCTAGTTCAGTTCTAGTTCAGTTCTAGTTCAGTTCTAGTTCAGTTCTAGTTCAGTTCTAGTTCAGTTCTAGTTCAATTCTAGTTCAGTTCTAATTCAGTTCTAGTTCAGTTCTTGTTCAGTTCTAGTTCAGTTCTAGTTCAGTTCTAGTTCAGTTCTAGTTCAGTTCTAGTTCAGTTCTAGTTCAGTTCTAGTTCAGTTCTAGTTCAGTTCTAGTTCAGTTCTAGTTCAGTTCTAGTTCAGTTCTAGTTCAGTTCTAGTTCAGTTCTAGTTCAGTTCTAGTTCAGTTCTAGTTCAGTTCTGAACTAGAATCGACAAAATATACAGTTCTTTTCCTGTTATGTTCTAGTTCGCTTGAAATTCAAAAAAATTTTGAAACTGATTTTGTAACAACTTCACACGTCGCAAAGGATTACAATACAAGGTCGCTACTCCAGTTAACTTACGGATCATCCTCCCATCCATTAGAAATAATAAACAAACATGTTTTTATTGCTTTTAAGTTGTTTTTTTATTATGTTTTTTTTTTTGTATTGCTTTTTTCTGTTTTTTTTTTACAATTTATTTGTATGATATTTATTTTTTTTTTTAATTGTTTTATTTTGTTTTAATAATTTTTTTTACTGTTTTGATATTTAATGCAAAAAATAAAGGATAATATAGAGAAGACATTAGTTACACATATATTTTGTTTTTATGTAGATTTGTTTGTTTTTTTTTCCTCATTTTCTGTTTAGTTTAAGTTAGTATTTCTATATTTTGTTTCTGGTGTTGGTTTGTTTGTTTTTTTTTTACAACAATAATAATTTAAAAAAGTGTTTTTTTAAAAATTCAACTAACTAAAAGTACAAGAAATTAAATAAATAATTCACATTTAAATATGTTTAATATTAATAAAAAGAAATAAAAATCTATGTTAAAATTAAAAAAAAAAAAACAAAATTCATTATAACAAAAATTAAACTTGAAATTGTTAAATATTTATAAAAAGAAAACAAATAATTATAATAAAAAATGTTTATAATATAAACAATTCAACCTTTTAAATATTGCAAAATAATTTATTTCACTCCCTCTCTCCATGAGCAATAGTTATTAATGTATTATTTATGTATTTAGTTTGGGTTTTACAGTTAGATTTAAGTTTATAACTTTTTTATTTTTTTTTTTTTTTATTAAAAAATAAATGAGCACTTGTTTGTTTTTTTAATTTCGTTTACATTTTTTTTCAAACAAAATCATTAATCGTTCGTTTATATAAAAATAGTTTTAATATTAAAAAAATTAAAAAAAAAATCTTGTTAAAAACAAGTAATTTCGAAATTCATTAAATTAATACTTCATTTCTTTAAGAAATTTTTTAAAAATCTTTTAAATTTTTTTTCAATATTTTAATATTCAATCTTATTTTTTTTCGTTTTTTTTTATTCTTTTTTTCATAAAGCAGTAGTTTTACTACCATAAAAATCATATTTTTTTCTCAAATTAGCTGCTTGCTTTTTTTAGGTTTATAAAAAATCTTAAAACTAGTTTTTTTTTTAGAAAGCTTTAAACAGGCTTTTTAAATATCGTTTTTTAAAAAAGTTTTTTTTTTCCAAAAAACACATAAAAAGTTTCTTAGTAATCTTTCAATTTTATTTTATCACATTCAAGAATTTTATTATTTTCATTTTATTTCATTTATCTTTTCAATTTTCCATGTTTGAAATATTTTCATCTATATTTCTTAGCCTAAATGTAGGCAGTATAATAAATAAATATGCCTTTATTTACTCCCAAGTATGTTTGTAGTAAAAGAGAGAGAAAACACTCTGTGATTTCTTTGTCGTTTTGTAAAGCATACCTTTACCGTTTGAGTCCATTTATTATTTGCAAGTCCTTCCTCATTCTTCGCATCTTTTTATGTTGGCACACGTTAGGTTTATTTTGTTTAAATTTCGTTTGGTTTGAGTCAATCTATTAAATAAATATTTGTAGAATATAAATGTATAAATATTTGAAAAAAAAAGTTACATGTAAGTATAAGTAAGTATAAGTAAGTAAAAAGTTCAACTAGTTGTCTAAAACAGATTTAAAAAGCTCTTATGCAACTAATATTAGGCGGTATAGACAAAGAATCCAATAGCAGTCGAAAGTGGTTTTAAAATCGACAAAATATACATATTTGCAATGAATTCCAATGTTTTCTCATTCGAGAAACTATAAATTCGGAATGTTTTTTGTCGCGTTCTGTCAATTATTAGATATTATATAAGTCCCGATTAGTAGATTTTGTATGTTAGTTTAGGTTTACATTTTTAACTAGTTCCCGTCACCCGAAAACAGAAATTTGGCATTCATTTGTTTAAATTTTAAAGTATTTGATTTTAAAATAATACTATAACTGAACTTATACTAAACTAGCATAAAACTAGAACTAGAACTGAACTAGAACTGAACTAGAACTGAACTAGAACTGAACTAGAACTGAACTAGAACTGAACTAGAACTGAACTAGAACTGAACTAGAACTGAACTAGAACTGAACTAGAACTGAACTAACTGAACTAGAACTGAACTAGAACTGAACTAGAACTGAACTAGAACTGAACTAAACTAGAACTGAACTAGAACTGAACTAGAACTGAACTAGAACTGAACTAAACTGAACTGAACTAGAACTGAACTAGAACTGAACCTAGAACTGAACTAGAACTGAACTAGAACTGAACTAGAACGGAACTAGAACTGAACTAGAACTGAACTAGAACTGACTAGAACTGAACTAGAACTGAACTAGGAACTGAACTAGAACTGAACTAGAAAGTGAACTAGAACAGAACTAGAACTGAACTTGAAATGAACAAGAACAGAAATAAAACTGAAACTAGAACTGAACCAGAACTGAACTAGAACTGACTGGAACTGAACTAGAAATGAACTAGAACTGAACTAGATCTGAACTAGAACTGAACTAGAACTGAAACCAGAACTAGAACTGAAACCAGAAACTGATCTGGAAAGAAAACTAGAACTGAACTAAAACTGAACTGAACTAGAACTGAACTAGAAAGACTAGAACTGAACTAGAACTGAACTAGAACTGAACTAGAACTGAACTAGAACTGAACTAAACTGAACTAGAACTGAACTAGATCTGAACTAGAACTGAACTAGAACTGAACTAGAACTGAACTAGAACTGAACTAGAACTGAACTAGAACTGAACTAGAACTGAACTAGAACTGAACTAGAACTGAACTAGAACTGAACTAGAACTGAACTAGAACTGAACTAGAACTGAACTAGAACTGAACTAGAACTGAACTAGAACTGAACTAGAACTGAACTAGAACTGAACTAGAACTGAACTAGAACTGAACTAGAACTGAACTAGAACTGAACTAGAACTAAACTAGAAACTGAACTAGAAACTGAACTAGAACTGAATTAGAACTGAACTAGAACTGAACTAGAACTGAACTAGAACTGAACTAGAACTGAACTAGAACTGAACTAGAACTGAACTAGAACTGAACTAGAACTGAACTAGAACTGAACTAGATCTGAACTAGAACTGAACTAGAACTGAACTAGAACTGAACTAGAACTAGAACTGAACTAGAACTGAACTAGAAACTGAACTAGAACTGAACTAGAACTGAACTAGAACTGAACTAGAACTGAACTAGAACTGAACTAGAACTGAACTAGAACTGAACTAGAACTGAACTAGAACTGAACTAGAACTGAACTAGAACTGAACTAGAAACTGAACTAGAACTGAACTAGAACTGAACTAGAAACTGAACTAGAACTGAACTAGAACTGAACTACTGAACTACGAACTAGAACTGAACTAGAACTGAACTAGAACTGAACTAGAACTGAACTAGAACTGAACTAGAACTGAACTAGAACTGAACTAGAACTGAAACTAGAACTGAACTAGAACTGAACTAGAACTGAACTAGAACTGAACTAGAACTGAACTAGAAACTGAACTAGAACTGAAACTAGAACTGAACTAGAACTGAACTAACTGAACTAGAACTGAACTAGAACTGAACTAGAACTGAACTAGAACTGAACTAGAACTGAACTAGAACTGAACTAGAACTGAACTAGAACTGAACTAGAACTGAACTAGAACTGAACTAGAACTGAACTAGAACTGAACTAGAACTGAACTAGAACTGAACTAGAACTGAACTAGAACTGAACTAGAACTGAACTAGAACTGAACTAGAACTGAACTAGAACTGAACTAGAACTGAACTAGAACTGAACTAGAACTGAACTAGAACTGAACTAGAACTGAACTAGAACTGAACTAGAACTGAACTAGAACTGAACTAGAACTGAACTAGAACTGAACTAGAACTGAACTAGAACTGAACTAGAACTGAACTAGAACTGAACTAGAACTGAACTAGAACTGAACTAGAACTGAACTAGAACTGAACTAGAACTGAACTAGAACTGAACTGAACTAGAACTGAACTAGAACTGAACTAGAACTGAACTAGAACTGAACTAGAACTGAACTAGAATTGAACTAGAACTGAACCAGGCCTGATAGTGTAGTAGTGTAGTGTTTAAAATAACCCTTTTAGAGGTCTTTTGCAATCTGCCACTATGCTTCATTATAATGCTTTATTATAAAAAAATAACGTTTTAAATGAAAACATAATTGCTGTTAGAGTATTATTTGAGCGGTCATATCCGACTAAACATTCTTAGTTATTTTTTTAATAAAAATTGTCTCGACTTACAATATATTCCACACACAGTTTTAAATAAAATTAAAGTAAAATTATATAATTTGTACATACCTTTTATAGAAGTGTAATAATATATGGTCCGATATAAATGTCTTTCAATTAATATTCATAATTGTGAGATAATTTTATCAAATACTATTTAATTATTTGATTTATTATGTTTATTCTCCGACATTTTCTTCAGTTATTACTCTTGTCCATTTATTGGGGGGAATTCTCTTACTTCGTATTCGTCTTTAACAATGTTAATATTTGTTTGTTTAACATTTTTAATGTTTTAAATTATTTTTCATTTAAATCGTTGGAACAGCAGCTGCAGTGTTCATTAAATTGTTTTTCATTCTTTAAACTAAAATAGTTTAGTTTGTTTGTTTTTTTTTCATGATATTCTGGAAGCATTTTTCATTCAAAGCTTCAATCACAATTCATTAATTCATAAGTTTGTTTGTTCAAATACATTAAAGTACATTTGTTTTAAACATTTACATACATATACATATTTTTAGTTGTTTAACAGCAACATTTCTTTAGTTTATCGTAATACCTTTTTGAGTTAAAGGAATTTTTGTGTCATCTTCATATTTTCGTTTCTTATTAAATGTCTTTAGAAGATCTTTTTAATGTGTATTTTTTACAGGTCTTCAATTTTTGTTAATTAAAAAATAGTTGTTTCTTTTCTCTTACTGCTCACCATTTGTTTGAGCTTCGTTAGTATTTAAACTACCAATGCCACTGCTAGACTGTTCCACAACTTCTTCACTGTCATCAATAGCAGCATCACCATTCAATAATGCTCCATCCACTCCACCGTTTTTAATGATTTGTAAAATTTCCTGTATGATATTCTTTTCCTGATAGAATACTCTTACAATGTTCAAAGTGTCGGATGTTTTTAGAAATTCTAATTGGAATGTCTCTGAGAAACGTGTATCAACAAATTGTGAAAAATGTTGCACAACTTCGGGTGTCAGTGGACATGTAGAGTCCAAGGAACATTGTTTACTATATCTTTCCATTTTAAGTAGTTCTTCGGGTAGTTTATAGAATTTATCGGTTATTGAGTTATTGCCAAAGTCTATGTAGTGAACTTCACATTTGTTGTCCTCTAGCAGGGCTACAATTTCGGCACGATAGTAGGCCAAATCTTCGGGAAATTGGGCAGCACATATGGCACCCACTTGTAAGTCAGTGAATACAGGAAATTCTGTTTCTGCATCTAGTAAAACATCGGTGATGTGTTCTAGTTGAGAAACGTCTTTGGTTAATTGTACATAGAAAGAGGTGGGAGAATTTACTTGTATGATACTACAATCATAAAGAGTAGGTAAAGGAGAGAATACTTCTTCTACAGCAGTATTAGATTCCACGGCTTTTTCTAGTTCCTCGGCCAAGTCCTTGTAATTGACTTGCAGCTTGACAGTGTGTATACGAGTTTCTTCATCCACTTCATCCTGTTCAATTTCGTAAATTTCACCGAAATGTGTTTCCAGCAAAGCAGCAAAACGCTCTTCTAGTACTGAGTCACTTACCCCAGAAGGTATTGAATTTAGACGACATTTTAGAGCTATGGCTGGTATAGATCTTAGTTCTTCGGGTAGTTCACGTATTTCTTGGGTCGTTATGGTATTGCCATAATCTAATAAGAATATTTCGTAGCCTTTCTCACCCGCCAAAACACCTTCTATACGTCCTCTATAGTAACAGTCATCTTCGGCTGAATAAGCACAACACACCCTGCCCACTTCAGTTTGTTGCAGTTTCTCTTGGTTTTCATTGACTGCTGGCAAGTTGAGTAAAGCCTTCTTTACAGTTTCCATTTTACCCGAATTAGATTTCAATTGTATGTAGAATTGCGAGGGCGAAATGGCATGAGAAATGACACAAGTTTTGGCTGCTTTTTCTAAATCCTCTTCAGGCAATATGCCACTGCTAACTTGTGGAGGTATTGTCACCGTTTGGGTTTTATGATCCATGCCTAATAGTTTATTAAGACTTTCACAGAGATTTTCCTCAGTATTCATGGCAAATGCTTTCACTATGGCCGGCTGCTTGTCAGTACCTTCATTAATAATATCAATTTTGACCAGACCCTCACATTGATCTATTAAGGTATTGAAAGACTCTGTGGCAATTGGACCAAATTGCGAATATTTAAGGGCATTCTCCAATTGACATTTCTTCGAGAATTCCTTTAGTTCCACTAGATCTTGGGGTAAAGTCTTTAGCTCTGTGGTAACAGCTTCATTACCAAAATCTACAAAAAGAACTCGGTATTCATTATTGCCCAATATTTCCAATATTTTAGCTCTGTATAGTTTGGAATCTTCAGGATAGAGAGCAGCACATAACTGCAACTTGCAGGGATTCTCTAACTTCTCCATGGCCAAAGTATTAAGAGATTGTGTCATATCTTCTAGACGTATAGTATCCTTGGTAAATTGTATATAAAAACCACAAGGTGAATTGGCATGTGATATAACCGCTTCGTATAAAGTGCCGGACTCATAAACAGAGGTGTGAAGAGTCGAGTTGTTAAAACTGGTATTCATTTCGTTACAGGGTTCGGGTAAAGGTTTCTTTTCGCACAACTCCTCGAGATCATCATTGATATTATGACCATCGATTAGTAGATGAACAACAGCATGATGTTGCGATGGCTCACGTAATTCTACACTGAATATAGTCTCACCAGTATCAGCAATTTCCATAAATTTCTGTTCAGCTGCATCAGACCAGCAGGTGCAGCTGGCAGGCACCTCTAAAGCACATTTCTTTGAGAGTGGAGGTAATTCTGCTATTTCTTGGGAAATCTCACGACACTCCGGACTAATGCTGGTGTTACCATAGTCTATGAATAAAACCTCATAACCCTCGCCAACTTGTTTCAACAACTTGGCTCTGTACCACATTTCATCGTCGGGAAATAGGGCGGCCACAATTTTGTGTTTTTCAAATTTTTCCAATTTCTTAAGTTTCTCATAGTCGGCTAAATAGATTTCGATTAGTTCCAAGCCTTTAGAATCTTTTTCGTATTGTATATAGAAGTCGGAAATACCATTGACATGTGATATATAACAATTCTCTCCTGAATCTACTATTTCCAAAGGTTTGGCATAGCCATCCTTTATTAATTTCTCCATAACATTAACACCCTCTATGTACAGATTAACATAACTCTTTTTGAATTGTTCTCCCTGGGTAATGAACTCATAGTCCAAAACCTTATTATAGGAATCGTTGAATATAGCATTGGCTGCATCCTGCCAGTCGATAGTACCATTGGGTCGTATGGGTAGTGCACAGGGTATGCATAAAGGTTCAACATCAGGGAAAACAATCATTTCCTTTAAGTCAGTGGTATCGTTTACACAATCAGTGTTGCCAAAATCAATAAATTGCAAAACCATTAATTCAGCATCTAAGATTTTAGCACGATACCATTGTTTGTCCACCGAGTACATGGATATACAGTAGGCACCGTTGATTATGCGCATTAAAGGTGGCAATGAACTGGCCACAATTTGTATGTTCTCCTGCAAACGCTGTAGATCTTTAACCTTGTCCATGGGATGTATAAAGAATTGTGCCGGATTATCACAGTGAGCTAAAATGGCATGTTCCATATCAGCATAAGGATTGACAACAGGTTCTGGTTCCGGCTCTGCTTCAGGCTCTGGCACTGGCTCCACAATAACTTCTTGTATTTTGGCTTTGGGTTCCTCAACTTTTGGTGTTTCTTTGGGTTTCTCGGGCACAAATTCAGCAGCTTTTTTAACTTCTGCCACTTTAGGTTTTTCTTGCGGTTCCTCTGGCTTAAGCACTTTCTTTTCTTCTTGACTGACGGCTGCAGTCTTTTTCTCTGCTTCAACTTCTTTGTTATTGGCTTTCTTTTTCTTGGGCGTTGATGGTTTACTTCTATTGCCCGTTTTCGTTTTCTCTTCGCCACCCTCATCCTCATCTTCCAAGGTTAAATCAACACATTCTATATATTCCAAAACATTGGGTTTTTCTTTCTCCAATAATTTGCGCATATATTCCAAATCGCGTGATTTAATTAGCTTTTGTTCCTTAAGCAAATCGATCATATTTTTGCCATCCGGCATTAAGAGATCGGCAATTAAATGATTATTCTTAACTTCCAGACACTTAACAGTGATTTCCTTATCCAAAGTTAAGCTGGTCAATGATTTAATGACCGCTATATCGGTTTCATTGGATGCGGCGGTGGATCCTGCAGCTTTCTTGCCCTTTTGTTTCTGTTGCATATCGGCTGCCAATGTTTTCAGGGGCAGATTTATTTCCATAGCATAAGCACTCTTATTCAAATAGAATTTTTCTTCTAATTTCTTTAAAAGCTGCTTCTCTACCGGTTCTGTATTGCCATAATCTATAAAGTTAACTTCAAAAGCTCCCTGGGCATTTTGATTACTTTGTATGCGTGCTCTATACCAATTGCCATCACTGCCTTTAGCGGCACATATTTGCTCCAAATCGTATGTTTCAAGCAGAGTACCTATAGGGTTTAAAGTATTAAGTTTTAAAATATCTAGTGTTTTAGTAGTAAGAACTTACCTTCATTTTCATAGTAATTAAACATGTCATCCAATAGTTGTGCCATTTCCATTTCAGTGGCCACAATTTGTCCATACAAACGATAAGGTGATGGCACATAAACAATACGCACATTGAAGCTTTCCAAGAGAATGGGTGGTGTACAGATATACCAGGGTATGTCTTCTTTAAGCAACGGCATTAGAGGACGCAATAAAAGACTGCAATTATAAGAGGGAGGGAGAATATTTAACGACATAAATAACTTCATTCAAATGAAAAATATTTAAAATGCAATAACAGTAACATATTCAATAGGAAATGGACATTTGTTTAGCAAACTATGAGAAGTTTAAGAAACTGGAAAATTTAGTAAAAGTCCAACATGATACAGAGCCAAGTTTTTGTAACAAGTAGGCGAGTGTTACGAGGTTTTGTTCATAGACTATGGTAACACCAGCATTAGTCCTGAGTGTCGTGAAAAACAGCACAATTACCTTCTCTCTTAATGAAATGTGTTTTAGAGATGCCTGACAGTTGCACCTGCTGGTCTGATGCAGCTGAACAGTAATTCATAGAAATTCCTAATACTAGAGAGACTATATTTAGTATAGAATTGCGTGAACCATCTCAACATCGACAACGACATGTCCATCTACTAATTGATGGTCACATTATCAATGATGATCTCGAAGATTTGTGCGAAAAGAAATCCTTTATATGAACTCTGTGACGAAATGAATATCCGTTTTAACAACTCGACTCTGCACATCTCCGTTTATGAGTCCAGTACTCTATACTATACGTCTAGAAGATATCACACAATCTCGCAATACATTGGTCATGGAGAAGTTAGAGAATCACTGCATGTTGCAGTTGTGTGCTGCCCTCTATCCTGAAGATTCCAAACTATACAGAGCTAAAATATTGGAAATATTGGGTAATAATGAATACCTAGTTCTTTTTGTAGACTTTAACAATGAAGCTGTTACCACAGAGCTTAAGACTTTGCAAGATCTAGTTGAACTAAAGGAATTCTCTAAGAAATGTCAATTGGAAAATGCCCTTAAATATTCGCAATTTAGTCCAATTGCCACAGAGTCTTTCAATACCTTAATAGATAAATGTGAGAGTCTGGTCAAAATCAATATTATTAATGAAGGTACTGACAAGCAGCCGGCCATAGTGAAAGCATTTGCCATGAATACAGAGGAAAATCTCTGTGAAAGTCTTAATAAACTTTTAGGCATGGATCATAAAACCCAAACGGTGACAATACCTCCACAAGTTAGCAGTGGCATTTTGCCTGAAGAGGATTTAGAAAAAGCAGCCAAAACTTGTGTCATTTCTCATGCCATTTCGCCCGCTCAATTCAACATACAATTGAAATATAATTCAGATAATATGGAAACTGTAAAGAAGGCGCTACTCAACTTGCCAGCAGTCAATGAAAACCTAGAGAAACTGCAACAAACAGAAGTGGGCAGAATGTGCTGCTGTTATTCAGCCGAAGATGACTGTTACTATAGAGGACGTATAGAAGGTGTTTTGGCGGGTGAGAAAGCCTAACGACCCAAAAAATACGTGAACTACCCGAAGATCTAAAATCGATATCAGCCATAACTCTAAAATGTCGTCTACATGCAATACCTTCCAGGGTGAGTGACTCAGTACTAGAAGAACGTTTTGCTGCTTTGTTGGCAACACATTACGGTGAAATTTCCGAAATTGAACAGGATGAAGTGAATGAGGAAACCCGTGTACACATTGTCAAGCTGCAAGTCAAAAGCATTAGGACTTGGCCGAGGAACTAGAATAAGCCGTGGAATCTAATACTGCTATAGAAGAAGTATACTCTCCTTTACCTACTCTTTATGATTGTAGTATCATACATGTAAATTCTCCCACCTCTTTCTATGTACAATTAACCAAAGACGTTTCTCAACTAGAACAAATCACCGATGTTTTACTAGATGCGGAGACAGAATTTGCTGTATACACTGACTTCACAAGTGTGTGTCATATGTGCTTTCCAATTTCCCGAAGATCTGGCCTACTATCGTTCCGACATTGTAGCCCTAAACTACTTAAAACGGAAAGACATAGTAAATAATGTTACTTGGATACACAAGAAGTGACTCAAAATTTTTCACAATTTCTTGATACTTTTTTCTCAGAGACATTCAAATTAGAATTTCTAAAAACATCCGACACTTTAAACATTGTAAGAGTATTCTATCAGGAAAAGAATATCATACAGGTAATCTAACAAATCATTAAAAACGGTGGAATGGATGGGACATTAGTGAATGGTGATTCTACTACTGATGACAGTGAAGAAGTTGTTGAACAGGCTAGCAGTAGCATTGGTAGTTGAAAAGTAGAGATCATATTAATCAAGTTCCAACAAATCTTGGGCAGTAATTGATAAACGTGTGCAAAAAAGAAACAACCAATGAATTACTCAACAAAGAAAGATATAATAAACAATGGTTCCTGGACTCTACATGTCTATGTCAATTTGTTGATACACGTTTCTCAGATACATTTCAATTAGAATTTCTTAAAACATCCGATACTTTTAGAACATTGTAATCTTGAAAATCATTAAAAAATTATAGAATAGATGGGACATTTAACTATATCTTTGATAAACTTGACCAATTATAAACCAAAAACAAAAACTACTTACACTTTATTATCGTTAACATCCTTGATATTGAGAACACATGATTTGCCATCATAGAACTGTTTAAACTTGCGGGCTATATCCTGATTAGATTTAACAAAACGTACATCATCGTAAGAACATAACATTTCAATGTTAGTGATATTTTCACAGCCATAAAATGGTAATTGAATTTTGAAATTTAACATATTATTAATGGAAGATATTTTGGCACGTATTTGTTGGCCGGCCAGTAAATCCAAACGGAGTTCTGAAATGAACATGTAAAACATACAATAAAAAAATGGGAAATTAATAAAGGAAACAATCTTAACACTTACCAGGACATATTTCGGTAATTAAACCTTCAGTACAAAGAGTTTGTTTCAGCGATACCTTATTCACCTTTACATTGACATAATACAAATCATGATTATTCTTTTCAATGTATTCACATTGTAATGTTACACCCTGTGGCAAATACTTATCCATGCGATCAATGATATAGAGATGATCATAGTTGGAGACAATGCCATCGAAACCACACAAATAGGCCATAATGGGAAAATCGGCAAAACGTTTTTCAACTTGCCAAATATCCTCTGAGGTTACCGTATATTGATTACCAAAATCTACAAAATGTACTTTATATTTGCGCAACATTTGATTGCAGGCCATAATGCGAGCACGATAGATAATGTTATCTTTACGTTGACGTGCCATTACATACGAACCCACCTTCAATTGTAGCTGTTGTAGCGGTAATTTATGATAGAATTGTTGTATATCTTTCATGAAACGTTCAAATTCTGCGGAACGTGATTTTAATTGAGTATAAAATTGATGTGGAGAAATCCACCAGGATATAATAACTTCCTCACGACAAGGTGTTTCAATGGCTTTAACTGGAAAGGCTTTGTTGAGTGGTACAAATGTATAGGTAGTGGGGGGTTTATCTTTGGCCTGTTGCTGCTGATTGCTGTTAGTTGAAGTATTATCCGTGTTGTTTTTGTTAATTTGTTCTTGTGATTTTTTGGAAGTTTCAGTATTAACTGAGGAGGAAGACTTGTTGCTATTATTGGTGTTATTTAATTGGTTATCTTTGTGTTTGGGTTGTTGTGAAAAACCTTGTGGAGCATTTTGTGGTCGCTGCTGCTGTTGTTGCTGCTGCTGTTGTCTATGCTGGCGTGGAGAATTCTGTTGTTGTAGATAATTTTGTTTATTTTGCTGTTGTTTTTGGAATCTGGGTGGTGTATTAGAGTTTGTAACCGATGAAGGTCTTTGATTATTATAACTACTGGTAGTACTGCGTTTATCACTGGCTACTGAATTATTGGAACTTGTTATATATTGCTGCTGATGCTGTTGTTGTTGCTGTCTATTTGAGGGATAATTTTTATAATAGTTTTGTCTGCGTTGTCCCTGTTGTCCTTGCTGCTGTTTAAATTCACTTGAACTAGAACGTGAATCTCTATTCTCGGTAATCAAGGAACTATTTGAGCTTTGTTTGTCCCATTCTGTGGTGGTTGGCGAAGTTGCATAACTTTGATTATTAACATTGTTATTGCGATTATGTTGTCTTTGCTGTGGCTGTTGTTGCAACTGTTGCTGTTTTTGTTGCATACGTTGTTCTTCACTTTGCAATGTGGTCGAATTGAGTATGTGACCTTTTTTACTTGAATGCATAGAGGCCACATCCGTGGAAGAGGCTATAGAAGGTGTTTTATTGCCATTTTCTGAATGTGTTTTATGATGACCATTTTGACCATGATGACCAGCACCTGCATGCAAATTAAAGTCTTCCTTTTCCAATGTTAAATATTGTTCGAAAGGCATAGACAATTTGTATAATTTCTTCATGACATTGAGATCTTTGGTACATAGATTTACTAGATTAACACCATCGGGCTGTATGCGAAATACTTTAACGGTAAAGGATCTTCTTTGACGATTCGACTCCTCGGCCAACATTTCAAATTGTGTGGTAGCTAAATCCTTACTCAGTTCATTGTTTTCGAAACCCTTTAGGCAGCATTGTACCGCTTGACGAGGCAATTTCAAATGTTTCTCCGCTATGGTACTGAGTAGATTTTTCGTTACCTTTTGTTCATAGCCAAAATCTACATGTCTGACTATAATGGCTGTGGAATCGGCACGCATAACCTCTGCTCTATACCACTCATTATCGTATTTAACAATACAGGGTGCACCCAAAGCCAAGTGATTGGGTACATTTTGATTTTTGTTATAATACAAAAACATATCGTCCATAAGTTTCTCAAAGGCGGGAATATTATCGACCTTTTGGACATAGAAATTTTTAGGTGAATCAATATAACGTATCTCCACTATATCGTTATTACGCAAAGGTTCATTTTTAGCATAAACCAAACGTGTTTTTTGTATTTGTTTTAAAACATGCAAAATGTTCTTCTCCTGCAGATACAACTCACAATATTGAACCAGAGGTGGTCCCTCTAAAGGCATAACTTTTAGTTTACAATTCTTATAAATAACCAAGTCCTTGAAAGCCTTTTTCAAACTATCATCAATGGGTTCCAATTCCTTGTGACCGGATAGAGTGAAACGTAAGGCAAAGGCTTTAAATTTAAGAAATTCATCTGGTATTTCATACAAATCTCTAAAATGTACCAACTCAGCATTGCCATAATCTATGTAGGCCACTTTACAAGCTGTAGGTTGTACACCGGTTATGAGAGCTCTATAGAGTTGACCGTCTTCACTATAACGTGCTATACAAGCTGTTCCCAATAAAGGTTTCTCACTAAACTGTTTCAAATGCACCTTTTCAATTTGATTCATCATATCGGTTAGGTCATCTTGATGCGATACCAGCTGGACGGAAAATAAAAATGGACCATTCTCTACAAAACTCACACTCACATCGTATACTTGACCCACGGTCAGAGTATTAGATTTAAAAGTGGCTGGCGTAGTGCGTCTGGGTGGTGAGAGTGGCATTTGTGGTTGTGGCATATTGATGGCACTCAATTGTGTAGGTGGAGGTGGTCTTTGATAGCGGGGATTGAAATTATTAAAATGTGGCACTGTTGAAGGCATGACACCGGGTAAACCATTATAGGAACCTGCTGTTGCCGACATGCCAGCGGCAGTGGGTAATGGCGGAGGTGGTTGTTGATGATGGTGATGATGCGGGTGATGTGGATGTTGTTGTGGTTGTGGTTGATAGTGGAGACCAGTATAGGGAATGCGATTATTTTGTAAATGAATACCTTCATAAGAAGGAAAATGAAAAAGAAAGAAAAACTCGTTATTACCCTGAAGTAAAAAAAAACATTAAAAATATTTAAACAGAATATTAACCTTGCATCATTGATCTTAAATTGCCAATTGACTGGGGCATACGTGGCTGAACAGGTGCAGTCTGTAAGAAGAAATTGAAAATAATTTAAGAAAAATCAGTAAGATAATACAAATTTAATTTAGATGATAATATAATTATAATCTGTGGATTAAGACTACAATCTAGACTACAGTCTCGAATACAATCTAATGCACAGTCTATAGTCTAGTCTATAGTGCAGTCTATAGTCTAGTCTATAGTCCAGTCTATAGTCCAGTCCATAGTCCAGTCTATAGTCTAGTCTATAGTCTAGTCTATAGTCTAGTCTATAGTCTAGTCTATAGTCTAGTCTATAGTCTAGTCTATAGTCTAGTCTATAGTCTAGTCTATAGTCTAGTCCTATAGTCTAGTCTATAGTCTAGTCTATAGTCTAGTCTATAGTCTAGTCTATAGTCTAGTCTATAGTCTAGTTCTAGTCTAGTCTATAGTCTATCTAGTCTAGTCTATAGTCCTATGTCTATAGTCTAGTCCTATAGTCTAGTCTATAGTCTAGTCTATAGTCTAGTCTATAGTCTAGTCTATAGTCAGAGTCTATAGTCTAGTCTATAGTCTAGTCTATAGTCTAGTCTATAGTCTAGTCTATAGTCTAGTCTATAGTCTAGTCTATAGTCTAGTCTATAGTCTAGTCTATAGTCTAAGTCTATAGTCTAGTCTATAGTCTAGTCTATAGTCTAGTCTATAGTCTAGTCTATAGTCTAGTCTATAGTCTAGTCTATAGTCTAGTCTATAGTCTAGTCTATAGTCTAGTCCTATAGTCTAGTCTATAGTCTAGTCTATAGTCTAGTCTATAGTCTAGTCTATAGTCTAGTCTAGAGTCTAGTCTATAGTCTATAGTCTATAGTCTAGTACTATAGTCTAGTCTATAGTCTAGTCTATGTCTAGTCTATAGTCTAGTCTATAGGTCTAGTCTATAGTCTAGTCTATAGTCTAGTCTATAGTCTAGTCTATAGTCTAGTCTATAGTCTAGTCTATAGTCTAGTCTATAGTCTAGTCTATAGTCTAGTCTATAGTCTAGTCTATAGTCTAGTCTATAGTCTAGTCTATAGTCTAGTCTATAGTCTAGTCTATAGTCTAGTCTATAGTCTAGTCTATAGTCTAGTCTATAGTCTAGTCTATAGTCTAGTCTATAGTCTAGTCTATAGTCTAGTCTATAGTCTAGTCTATAGTCTAGTCTATAGTCTAGTCTATAGTCTAGTCTATAGTCTAGTCTATAGTCTAGTCTATAGTCTAGTCTATAGTCTAGTCTATAGTCTATAGTCTAGTCTATAGTCTAGTCTATAGTCTAGTCTATAGTCTAGTCTATAGTCTAGTCTATAGTCTAGTCTATAGTCTAGTCTATAGTCTAGTCTATAGTCTAGTCTATAGTCTAGTCTATAGTCTAGTCTATAGTCTAGTCTATAGTCTAGTCTATAGTCTAGTCTATAGTCTAGTCTATAGTCTAGTCTATAGTCTAGTCTATAGTCTAGTCTATAGTCTAGTCTATAGTCTAGTCTATAGTCTAGTCTATAGTCTAGTCTATAGTCTAGTCTATAGTCTAGTCTATAGTCTAGTCTATAGTCTAGTCTATAGTCTAGTCTATAGTCTAGTCTATAGTCTAGTCTATAGTCTAGTCTATAGTCTAGTCTATAGTCTAGTCTATAGTCTAGTCTATAGTCTAGTCTATAGTAGTCTATAGTCTAGTCTATAGTCTAGTCTATAGTCTAGTCTATAGTCTAGTCTATAGTCTAGTCTATAGTCTAGTCTATAGTCTAGTCTATAGTCTAGTCTATAGTCTAGTCTATAGTCTAGTCTATAGTCTAGTCTATAGTCTAGTCTATAGTTTATAGTCTAGTCTATAGTTTATAGTCTAGTCTATAGTCTAGTCTATAGTCTATAGTCTAGTCTATAGTTTATAGTCTAGTCTATAGTCTATAGTCTAGTCTATAGTCTATAGTCTAGTCTATAGTCTAGTCTATAGTCTAGTCTATAGTCCAGTCTATAGTCTAGTCTATAGTCTAGTCTATAGTCTAGTCTATAGTCTAGTCTATAGTCTAGTCTATAGTCTAGTCTATAGTCTAGTCTATAGTCTAGTCTATAGTCTAGTCTATAGTCTAGTCTATAGTCTAGTCTATAGTCTAGTCTATAGTCTAGTCTATAGTCTAGTCTATAGTCTAGTCTATAGTCTAGTCTATAGTCTAGTCTATAGTCTAGTCTATAGTCTAGTCTATAGTCTAGTCTATAGTCTAGTCTATAGTCTAGTCTATAGTCTAGTCTATAGTCTAGTCTATAGTCTAGTCTATAGTCTATAGTCTAGTCTATAGTCTAGTCTATAGTCTAGTCTATAGTCTAGTCTATAGTCTAGTCTATAGTCTAGTCTATAGTCTAGTCTATAGTCTAGTCTATAGTCTAGTCTATAGTCTAGTCTATAGTCTAGTCTATAGTCTAGTCTATAGTCTAGTCTATAGTCTAGTCTATAGTCTAGTCTATAGTCTAGTCTATAGTCTAGTCTATAGTCTAGTCTATAGTCTAGTCTATAGTCTAGTCTATAGTCTAGTCTATAGTCTAGTCTATAGTCTAGTCTATAGTCTAGTCTATAGTCTAGTCTATAGTCTAGTCTATAGTCTAGTCTATAGTCTAGTCTATAGTCTAGTCTATAGTCTAGTCTATAGTCTAGTCTATAGTCTAGTCTATAGTCTAGTCTATAGTCTAGTCTATAGTCTAGTCTATAGTCTAGTCTATAGTCTAGTCTATAGTCTAGTCTATAGTCTAGTCTATAGTCTAGTCTATAGTCTAGTCTATAGTCTAGTCTATAGTCTAGTCTATAGTCTAGTCTATAGTCTAGTCTATAGTCTAGTCTATAGTCTAGTCTATAGTCTAGTCTATAGTCTAGTCTATAGTCTAGTCTAGTCTATAGTGTCTATATTCTAGTCTATAGTGTCTATAGTCTAGTCTATAGTCTGGTCTAATTTTACTTCCCCACCCCTGAAATATAGAAAAATTCAATAAAAAGTATTTTTAAAGAAAGAAAAATACATAAATATGAAAAAGAAAAAAACAACTTACAATTATCATGTGATGACCACCACTTTGACCCGCTGAAGCCATATGCCCTACATTTGGACGCATATGCAGTTGTTGATGTAACTGTGGATGTTGCAATTGTTGCAAACGTGCTGATAAAGAACGTCTAGCAGCCATTTGTTCACGCAATTGATTATTTGTAGCACCTGTTGTTGTAGCTGTGATTGTTTGATGTGGCGGAGCAGTCATTGAAACAGCAGAAACAGCTTTGGCTGCTGCTTGTGCTACTGCCACAACATTATTATTAGAATTTGTATTGATGCCGGAAGATGTCGATGATGAAGATGACTGTTGTGGTGCATTTTTATTATAGTAATTATTGTTGTTGTTATTATTATTTTGATTATTATTCATATTGGGAGTTGGCATATTGTTATTATTTAATACAGCTTGTTGTTGCTGCTGTTGTTGTTGTTTGAGTATTTTAGAAAATTTTTCAAATAACAAATCATTTGCTATGGGTGCACCCATTTTCTTCTGATGTATCAGAAATTCAGCAATATTAAATTCTTTCCATTTCATTGTTATAAATTTAAATTGATTAAACTAAGTAGAAAGAGTAGAAGAAAGCAAAAAGAAAACATTTTTAATTAGTTGAGCTTTAATAGCATCATCACATATTCTTTATGTGTGTTTTTGTGGTATATTTCTAAATACTTACTTCCTTTATAATGGAAATCTCTACAGAATGATGTGCTATCATTCGTAAAATTTCATCGAGTTGAGATTTTTTCCAATCTTCACAAATACCCAAAACTATATATTGAGAGCACATAGTTGGGATATTTACCAATTGTTCAGGATTTTGTGGAAATAGTAACTGTAATGTAAGATAAAAGTCGTAAGAATTTTTGATTTGAAAAAAATCAAAATTTTTTAGTCTATAATATAGTCTACAGTCTAGTCTATAATATAGACTATATAGTCTACAGTCTAGTCTATAGTCTAATCTGTAGTCTAGTCTAGTCTATAGTCTAGTCTATAGTGTAGTCTATAGTCTAGTCTATAGTCTAGTCTATAGTCTAGTCTATAGTCTAGTCTATAGTCTAGTCTACAGTCTAGTCTATAGTCTAGTCTATAGTCTAGTCTATAGTCTAGTCTATAGTCTAGTCTATAGTCTAGTCTATAGTCTAGTCTATAGTCTAGTCTATAGTCTAGTCTATAGTCTAGTCTATAGTCTAGTCTATAGTATAGTCTATAGTCTAGTCTATAGTCTAGTCTATAGTCTAGTCTATAGTCTAGTCTATAGTCTAGTCTATAGTCTAGTCTATAGTCTAGTCTATAGTCTAGTCTATAGTCTAGTCTATAGTCTAGTCTATAGTCTAGTCTATAGTCTAGTCTATAGTCTAGTCTATAGTCTAGTCTATAGTCTAGTCTATAGTCTAGTCTATAGTCTAGTCTATAGTCTAGTCTATAGTCTAGTCTATAGTCTAGTCTATAGTCTAGTCTATAGTCTAGTCTATAGTCTAGTCTATAGTCTAGTCTATAGTCTAGTCTATAGTCTAGTCTATAGTCTAGTCTATAGTCTAGTCTAGTCTAGTCTATAGTCTAGAGTTAGTCTATAGTCTAGTCTATAGTCAGTCTATAGTCTAGTCTATAGTCTAGTCTATAGTCTAGTCTATAGTCTAGTCTATAGTCTAGTCTATAGTCTAGTCTATAGTCTAGTCTATAGTCTAGTCTATAGTCTAGTCTATAGTCTAGTCTATAGTCTAGTCTATAGTCTAGTCTATAGTCTAGTCTATAGTCTAGTCTATAGTCTAGTCTATAGTCTAGTCTATAGTCTAGTCTATAGTCTACTCTATAGTCTAGTCTATAGTCTAGTCTATAGTCTAGTCTATAGTCTAGCTCTATAGTCTAGTCTATAGTCTAGTCTATAGTCTAGTCTATAGTCTAGTCTAGTCTATAGTCTAGTCTATAGTCTAGTCTATAGTCTAGTCTATAGTCTAGTCTATAGTCTAGTCTATAGTCTAGTCTATAGTCTAGTCTATAGTCTAGTCTATAGTCTAGTCTATAGTCTAGTCTATAGTCTAGTCTATAGTCTAGTCTATAGTCTAGTCTATAGTCTAGTCTATAGTCTAGTCTATAGTCTAGTCTATAGTCTAGTCTATAGTCTAGTCTATAGTCTAGTCTATAGGTCTAGTCTATAGTCTAGTCTATAGTCTAGTCTATAGTCTAGTCTATAGTCTAGTCTATAGTCTAGTCTATAGTCTAGTCTATAGTCTAGTCTATAGGTCTCGTCTATAGTCTAGTCTATAGTCTAGTCTATAGTCTAGTTCTATAGTCTAGTATACGTCTAGTCTATAGTCTAGTCTATAGTCTAGTCTATAGTCTAGTCTATAGTCTAGTCTATAGTCTAGTCTATAGTCTAGTCTATAGTCTAGTCTATAGTCTATAGTCTAGTCTATAGTCTAGTCTATAGTCTAGTCTATAGTCTAGTCTATAGTCTAGTCTATAGTCTAGTCTATAGTCTAGTCTATAGTCTAGTCTATAGTCTAGTCTATAGTCTAGTCTATAGTCTAGTCTATAGTCTAGTCTATAGTCTAGTCTATAGTCTAGTCTATAGTCTAGTCTATAGTCTAGTCTATAGTCTAGTCTAGTCTAGTCTATAGTCTAGTCAGTCTAGTCTATAGACTAGTCTATAGTCTAGTCTATAGTCTAGTCTATAGTCTAGTCTATAGACTAGTCTAGTCTATAGTCTAGTCTATAGTATCGTCTATAGTCTAGTCTATAGTATCTAGTCTATAGTATCGTCTATAGTATCGTCTATAGTATCGTCTATAGTATCGTCTATAGTCTAGTCTATAGTCTAGTCTATAGTCTAGTCTATAGTCTAGTCTATAGTCTAGTCTATAGTCTAGTCTATAGTCTAGTCTATAGTCTAGTCTATTCTAGTCTAGTCTAGTCTAGTCTATAGTCTAGTCTATAGTCTAGTCTATAGTCTAGTCTATAGTCTAGTCTATAGTCTAATCTATAGTCTAGTCTATGGTCTAATCTATAGTCTCGTCTGTAGTCTAGTCTATAGTATAGTCTCGTCTATAGTCTAGTCTATAGACTAGTCTATAGTCTAGTCTTTAGTCTAGTCTGTATTCTTGTCTGTAGTCTTGTTTGTAGTCTAGTCTATAGACTAGTCTATAGACTAGTCTATAGACTAGTCTATAGTCTAGTCTATAATATAATCTATAGTTTATTCAACGGTCTATTTTATATTCCATTGTCTCTTCTATGCGCTAGTCTATAGTTTGATCTAGCTCCTATTATACTGTAGCTATAGTTTATTTTAGTATAGTCTACTCTATTCACTTTCAGCTAAAACATGAATTTTGTATAAAAAATCTGAGACATGAATTATACAATGATTGTTTCCTTTTAAATATCATAAAGAAAAGAAATTCCGAAAACTTTCAATGCAATTAGATTTTTTTCATTTCAATTTTCAGTTAACCTTGGTATTATCCCCATGGACTATGTTCAAATGCGTATTAAAAAACCTAAACATATACATACATTTTACAAAATAATTATTAGTACTATTTCAGTCTTGATTGCTTAATTTTGTACTTTTTGTAAACTATAAATTTAAAAATGCCTTAATAAATTGCCTCCATTAATGGTCATTCATATTTTTATGTACTTAATAATGAGTAATCTTAAAGTTATGAAAGTTCATTTTAAATAAATAAAACACAAATAAATGCAATTAATATTTGAAAATCAAGTACGAATAGACGGGCGGTGGCGGTGGCACTAAAGTAATATGAGTTAGTATGGAGAAGAAATACAGAAAAACTACACGATCAGCATATTAATTAACAGTCCGTAATCAATGAAGCTCATCATCCATTAAACGTAAGTATATGTATATAAAATAAAATATTTTAACAATTTCTATAGCAAAAATTAAAAATAAATAAATAAATATAAAAATCAACTTACCTCAACACTGGCCACGGTTGCAACATGACCATAATCTATGATTTCGATTTCTACTTTTGGCGTTGTCGTGGGGGGAGCACTGGATGGGGCGGCAATAACTTTTATAATGCGTGATCGAACAAATTCAAAATCTGCCGGAGCAGCACCATTGATGCGTTTGTATAGACACATGGCACCGGGTAACAGTAGAGCCAGCTGACGTGCTACTGGCCATGATGAATCAATCGTATAGCATGTGGTTAAGATTTTTTGAACTTGGCTACGCACTACACCCATAGCATCGGGATTAAGGTGACCACTGATCTTGAGGTATGGTCCCAGAGAGTCGACGTGTGTAATAAAGAGACGTTTGCGTTCATTATTGCCGCCTGCGCTTGTGGTACCACTAGTACCACCGTTCGTCAGAGATTGTTGTGATGTTGTCGTCGTAGTCGTCGTACCAGACGACGTTGCAGTTGAACCCTGAGAGGTGTTCATATTTCTAATGACCTTTTTTGTTCTGTTGCTTTTCCTTTTTTCAAAAATTGAAGTTTTCTTTTCTTGAATATAAATTTATTAGCATTTCTTTTGAGCCGAAATTTTTGTTTGTTCGCTGTCTACTCTGCCACGAGTATTTAAGTGGTAATTTAATTTTGGTACCGTTTTTGCAAATTTTGCGATTTTACTTTTTTTTTTTCTTCTTCAGTTTCTTTTCTTCACCGTTTCTTTTGCTGTTTAAGTGAGGTTTTTTATTCGAGTTTTTATGCTGCGTCCGCTAATTTTCTGCAAAAAAATAAACAAAAACAAAAAACAATGAAAGCGTTTGTTGTTAACAATGGAAGACGATAGAGAGAAAAATATTTAAATAATTATTTTGCATGTTTAAAATGTGGTCATTGTACGAAAAGAAAACTTTTGAAATTATAATAGAAAAAATGTATAAATAACAAATTTTTTACACTTTGTCACAACGATTAGTTTGGAATTTTTATTATATTTTTTGCTGTGTATTTTTGCAAGCGTTTCATATACAAAATGTATCAAACTGACTTATTTGTTCATCTCTTGTGGGGGAGAGAGTAAGATAGAGTAGACAACATTTTATTCTTTATTCCTATTCTTTTGATGTCAATATTTACCGTTATAATTTACACAGAGTTATTGTTTCTGTTATCTTAATTTTTTGTTTTTGGCTGATAAATTTATCTGCGTTTAGAAGAGAGAAAACGGGGTAAATAAATAGTGAAATTGCAGAGATGGGTTTTTTTATTTTTTACGAGGATTAAAGTATTACAAAACTACCCAGCAAAAACTCGGTAATGACTTTCAGTTGTACCCACTCACCTATTAAATCAAATTTCATTGAAATGTTTTCAGTGACTACTACATATCGTCCTGATTACATATAAGTGATCTAATAACGTCTTATTAATAATGTACATATAAATACTTTCTAATTCTTTAGTCATCTTCTTCGTGACTATAGACTATAAACTACACTATAGACTAGAATATAGACTAGACTATAGACTAGACTACAGACTAGACTATAGACTATAGACTAGACTATAGACTAGACTATAGACTAGACTATAGACTAGACTATAGATTTGACTATAGACTTGACTATAGACTAGACTATAGACTAGACTATAGACTAGACTATAGACTAGACTATAGACTAGACTTTAGACTAGACTATAGACTAGACTATAGACTAGACTATAGACTAGACTATAGACTAGACTATAGACTAGACTATAGACTAGACTATAGACTAGACTATAGACTAGACTATAGACTAGACTATAGACTAGACTATAGACTAGACTATAGACTAGACTATAGACTAGACTATAGACTAGACTATAGACTAGACTTGACTATAGACTAGACTATAGACTTGACTTTAGACTAGACTATAGACTAGACTATAGACTAGGCTATAGACTTGACTATAGACTAGACTATAGACTAGACTATAGACTTGACTATAGATAGACTATAGACTAGACTATAGACTAGACTATAGACTAGACTATAGACTAGACTATAGACTAGACTATAGACTAGACTATAGACTAGACTATAGACTAGACTATAGACTAGACTATAGACTAGACTATAGACTAGACTATAGACTAGACTATAGACTAGACTATAGACTAGACTATAGACTAGACTATAGACTAGACTATAGACTAGACTATAGACTAGACTATAGACTAGACTATAGACTAGACTATAGACTAGACTATAGACTAGACTATAGACTAGACTATAGACTAGACTATAGACTAGACTATAGACTAGACTATAGACTAGACTATAGACTAGACTATAGACTAGACTATACACTAGACTATACACTAGACTATAGACTAGACTATAAACTAGACTATAGACTAGACTAAAGACTAGACTAGACTATAGACCAGACTATAGACTAGACTATAGACTAGACTATAGACTAGACTATAGACTAGACTATAGACTAGACTATAGACTAGACTATAGACTATACTATAGACTAGACTATAGACTAGACTATAGACTAGACTATAAACTAGACTATAGACAAGACTATAAACTAGACTATAGACAAGACTATAGACTAGACTATAGACTAGACTATAGACTAGACTATAGACTAGACTATAGACTAGACTATAGACTAGACTATAGACTAGACTATACACTACACTATAGACTATATACTAGACTATAGACTAGACTATACACTAGACTATAGACTAGACTATAGACTAGACTATAGACTAGACTATAGACTAGACTATAGACTAGACTATAGACTAGACTATAGACTAGACTATAGACTAGACTATACACTAGACTATAGACTAGACTATACACTAGACTATAGACTAGACTATACACTAGACTATAGACTAGACTATACACTAGACTATAGACTATAGACTAGACTATAGACTAGACTATACACTAGACTATAGATTAGACTATAGACTAGACTATAGAATTAGCTGACACTATAGACAATAATATAGATTGGACTATAGACTAGACTATAAACTAGAATATAGACTACACTATAGGCTATAACTGATACTAAAGGTCATAGCGTCTATTCTATGCCATACATAGGGTCGTAGTTATCATGCTATTGTAATCGCGTCACTAAGAGTGTTGACCGTTCTACTACGACTTTTACAGCCCAACAGAAGAACAGAACTGATCTATTGGCATGGTTCAAGCATCGCCAGTATACTAGCACTGGCGAGCGGATATTCCTCATAAAGTTCTAAATAATATGTAATTAAATCGATTAACCAATATAACAACTGAACACTTATTAGAAAACAATTATAAATTGTTAGATTGTTTGCCTTAAAATGTTAAATAATTTATTTATTAATAAATTTTTCAAAATATTTGTAATTATTGTGTTGAAACTAGTTTATAGCTTACATTATTTATGAACTTTATGTGGGCATTTAAACAGCTGATCCATAAATATGCACATACATTTTGTTTATATGCGATCTTGAAAAAAAAAAATGAAAATAAAACTAAAAAAACACGCCCGACCTACACAAAATAAAATATTGTTTTTTTTTTGTGTTTTGTTTACCCTTTCAGCACTCTTACACATAAACAAACGTTCTGTTACAATCATCACAGACACGCAAACGCCAGACAAACAAACGATCACCACCAGCACTGTCAACTTGCTGGAAATTATGTTTTAAGCGGGGAACATAATTATTTATTTTTAGGAAAACTATTTTTATAGTAAAAGAGGGTAGTTAGAGTAAATAGTTTTTGTACCACACCTAAAGACCATTTTTTCCTGTACATACTTAAAAAAAAATCAAAATCTTAGGAATTTTCCATACATCTTATTATGGTAAAATAACTGTCGATAATGCGCAATTAGATAGATATTTGTTCTTGAGTGAGAATCGAATACCAAAGTTATTATAATAGCATTTTCAGATCTTTTGAAATTATAAACATCTGAATAAATATTATAGATCTTAACGGCAGCAGGGTTATCAAATATATGTATATATAGACAGATTGGAATATACCAGACAGTACTTTTAATGGAAAACTTATGCATTTGCAATGAATGAATAGAATCGTTACCAGGCTCCTATTCACATACCAATAGAAAAAGGAAAGTGGAATGCAGAACGAGGAAATATTTGGTATATGTGGCTAAGATAATAGTTCATCACTAGAGAAAGCCTTCTTTTGAGAATGTAGCAATATTGTAAGGTATTTTCGGTAGTTAATGTTACTTTAGAATGATTCTTTCTAAGTGCAGAGGATGGAGACGTGTTGCCTGTAACACGGTTTCAGGTTGAAAAACTGGAAGGTTTTATCAGGGGAATTAGTCATTTCATTGACTGCTTTTTATAGGGTGACTCAGAGTCAGTCATATTTTCTTCTTATGGGAATCGAATCGGTACAACTTCTGGCTTAAAACGCCTTTAACTATGTTCGTTCTTGTTTTTCTAGAGTTTTGCTTCTCTATATTTGGATTGTCACTTTCTATGAAGAAAATCGTAATGCTCCTTATAATCTCCGAGTGGAGTTGAACCTTTTTATAGTGCATAACCCTACTTAACCTAACCTACTCTAATTATAAGGATGACGAAGGGAGATAACTTCAAATCACCTAAAATGTAATTCAGACTCCATTTGCATGCAACATGATGGGCGTGTAAACATTTTTGTGTGTTACAAAACTCAATAAAAACGCATAATACCCTTGTCACTATAATAAGATAGGGTACAACAATTATTAATTGTTAACCATATATGATACAGTATATATTATATAGAAATAAAAACTTACCTAAGCTTAAGCAAAGACAAAAAAAAAATCGTGCAAAAGAAGAGTAAAAAAACTCAATTGAAATGAAACTATAAACAGGCGATGGCGATGATGATGATGATATTCTTCAATTTGGCCCCTCCTTAACTGCAACGTCTATAAAAAGTTGAATTTTTCTTTTCGATTTCTTTTCAACTGTTGTGTATTTGCAAAAAGACAGAGATTTACGCCTTTTTTAATAATTATAAAAAAATATGTACATTTACTTGGTTTAAAACACTTGTCACGAATTTAATTTCTTTCTTTTATTATTTTTGGAATTATATTGCAATACAAAACTTTTCACCAAAATTTCTATTAAATAGTTTTGATTAAGAATTGCAGCAGTGTTATATTTTATAATTTTTCTCTTTTTCTTTATTTCGTATGATTTTTTTTTCGGTTGGTAATGTGTATTAATTATTGAATAATTATGCAGGAATTTCTTTAATCTTTTTCCTCTCTTTTTTTTTTTGTTTTTTAAGCACTCACACACATGTACGCATATTTTTTATATTCTTTTTTTATACAAATTGGGCAGTATGTTATGGAACAGCTGTGTGTGTTTGTTTGTGTCTTTTTATTTAATCTTCTTCTTCTTTTTGTTTTCCGATTACTGTTGTTGTTTTTTCACTTTAATAATATTTTTACACTTTGCTTTTGCTTGTTTTTCTATTCGTTTCTTGTTTTATTTTTTTTTTTTAATTTTTTTTATCTGTGCTAATTATTCATCATTCACTTTTTAAGTCAAAGAGAAAAAAAATGTCGTCGTGGATTATTTTTACTTTTTTATAAATATCTTGGTTTTCTTTCTTTAATTTTTATTACTTTAATTTAATTAATTCAGTCTTTTAAGTTACAAAAGCATAAAACTAAACTTTTCGTTTGTAACGAAATAAAATTTATGCCAAAAATGAAAAGAAAATGTAAACGAAAAAAGAAAATTAATGTTAATGTGAGAAAATTTTCTTTTCTATATTCGTGAGGCGTAGATAAATATATAGTTGCTGCTGGCTCCCACTTTCACGTGGAGTTAAACCAATACCGTATGGAGGCTATTCAAGCGTTTACCAAAAGTGTTCGTTTTTAATGATTAACGTTTTAGTTTCTTACAAATGCAGTCATTAGTTTATTATTTAGTTATTGTTTCAGTTTTATATATGTATTATAAACGTAAAATAACGAACTAAAAGAAATTAATTAAAAAAACTCCAAAAAAGATTTTCTTTTTTTTTCAAGCGCAAACTTAAACACACGTCTCCTCTTCATAGAAAAATTGAAAGACGACTAAAAAAATAATTAATAGTATAGCTAATTTAGCGTTTTTGAACTATTAATATTTTTGTTCAAACTTGTCTATAACTGACGAATTTCTTGTTGGAAATAAAGAAATAAAAGTTTTTAGTCCAAAAATACAGAAAAACATCTTCTGAAATGAAAAGTGTAAAATATTTATTATTAACTAAAATAACAGTTGTTTTAAGAATTTAATAATTCGTCGAGTTTTTAAAAAATACATAAAGAAATTCTAGCGATTTCCTTAGTGTTGACAATTTGCAACTATTTTACTAAAAAATTATAAACGTTTTTCTTTTTTTAAATTAATTTTTTAAAATATTTTTATATATAAACTTTTCCAACTGTTTTTCATATCGACTTTTCGACTTTTATTTGCATAATAGATTCTTCGACTATTTTCTTACACTATAGTCCATTTATTTGGATAAAAAAGTAAACTTCGATTCATGATAAAAATATCAAATATCAAAATTATTAACATAAATTACACAATCACAACACAAATTTCTTAGAAATTATTTTCCCCTTTTTCATATGTGGCAACGATGTTCTATTTATTTACAAAATACGAATTTCAAAAAATACCAGCAAACTTCAAAAAGTTTTTTTGAGAGAGAGGAATGACACTACCTTCATATTTTTATCATGCTTCGATTTATCGATTATTTAAAAATCGATTTATAGAAAACAAATTCAAGCGGTATATAATAGGGTTCTATAAATCGACTTTCGAATAATCGAACAATCGACTTTTTGTCGAAAAAAGTCGAAGTCGACTATTTTGTTCCAAAAAAGTCGATAACTCGACTATCGTCTGTGAAAAAAGTCGAAAAGTCGACTTTGTGAATAAAAGTCGAAAAAAGCCGAAAAGTCGAAAAGTCTGAAAGTCGAAAAGTCGAAAAAAGTCGATAAGTCGAAAAAAGTCGATAAGTCGAAAAAAGTCGAATAAAGTCGAAAAGTCGTAAAAAGTCGAAAAAAGTCGAAAAGTCGGAAAAAGTTGAAAAATCGAAAATTGTAGTCAAAAATTTTAAAAAAGTGGAAAAAAAGTCAAAAACTCTAAAATAGTCGGAAAAACTCGAAAAAAGTCAAAAAATAGTCGGAAAAAAGTAGAAGGAAGTCGAAAATAGTCAAAAAGTCGAAAAAATCGAAAAAAGTCGGAAAAAGTCGAAAAAAGTCGAAAAAAGTCGAAAAAAGTCGAAAAAGTCGAAAAAAGTCGAAAAGTCGAAAAAAGTCGAAAAGTCGAAAAAGTCAAAAAGTCGATAAAAGTCGAAAAAAGTAGGAAAAATTCGACTATTTATAAAATACTTATAGTCGAAAAGTCTAAAAGTCTACTTTTATTTAAATGAAAAAAGTCGAAAAATCGACTTTTAATTAAATGCAAAAAGTCGAAAAGTCGATTTTTAACTAAATGAAAAAGTCGAAAAGTTGACTTTTCGTTTCAACTATAGAACCCTAGTATATAACCTTGAAAACAATACAAAAAATATCGGATAAATTAATTAATCGCTAAATATAAAAAGTATTAATATATTGTCAACACTATTGATACAAATGCAAAAAAGAAAAAAGAGAAAGGGCAGAGAAAGAAATAAGGAGTTAACAGAGGCCTGAGTCAATTCAAAGTCTAGCCAAAGTAAGTCTAGCCGTCGTTAAAATTTCAAAGGCGTACGATTTTTGTCTCAAATATAAGTCCACTATCATCAGTGGACATTATGTTAAAACATTAACACCCAGCTATGCATAAAATATTATTACATTTATTTATCAAAATCTTTCACAAATTGTTATTATGAAATCCATCACAAAACAAATCGTTTGAAATCTTAGCTGACTACGGCACAATTTAAAGACGCCGTTTAATTTTTATTGCCTGCTAACGACGTCATTAATTTTTGTCAGCACAGGTCTCTGGTGGTTAATAAGAAGAAAAACGTCTGATTCAGTGTGTAACAAAAAATAATTTCTGGAATATTTTTCGCTGAAAAAATCAGCAGCATTTCAAATATTAATAATTGGCCAAATTAAGAACGTAACGCAAAATTAACTAAAAAGTTTAAATTTTCAAAGAATATGACAGCACCGCGTCGTTTACGTAAAGAACTAACAGATTTACAGCAATGTCAACTGAAATCCTTTCGCGAAATTGCCACTGATGACGACAATCTTTTGCGTTGGACGGGTCTAATTGTGCCCGATAACCCACCCTACAATAAGGGAGCATTTCGCATTGAAATCAACTTTCCGGCGGAGTATCCCTTCAAGCCACCAAAGATCAATTTCAAAACGAAAATCTATCATCCGAACATTGATGAAAAGGGTCAAGTTTGCTTGCCCATTATAAGTACGGAAAACTGGAAACCTGCCACACGTACGGATCAAGTTATAAACTCTCTTATAGCATTGATCAACGATCCGGAGCCAGAGCATCCATTGCGTGCCGAATTGGCGGAGGAGTTCCTAAAGGATCGCAAAAAGTTTATGAAAAATGCTGAGGATTTTACCCGCAAGAACAGTGAAAAAAGACCAGCTGATTAGTAAAGTAACACGAAACTATATAAATAAATAATAAAACAAAGACTTTTTGAACCAAATTGTCATTAAAAAATGTCCCTTTTTGCTAAGCATTATTATTATTATTGTGCACTATATTATTTGCGTATCTCATTTTATTTTCCAAAAAATATCCTCCAGCCGGACTGCCTTCTACGCGTACACACCAACTGCAGCTGTAATTGTAGCAGAAAATAGGAAACCATTTGGTAACAAAGAGAGTACTTCAGCATGTTGCAATGATGATTATGATTATGTCCTTCGTAAAATAAATACATTTATACCTATTTTTTATTATTTTTCTATTTCTTTTACATATTTTTGTTTTTATTTCTTCATTCGACTTAACTGCATATTGTTTAACGAAATTCATTCATATTTGAACAACTAATAATTGTATTTAAATATACACTACTGAAATTGAAAACAAAAAGTTTTAAATAAAATTGTGTATTTCATTTAATTGATTTATTTATTTTTCTGCATTCGCCTGCCGATAAACAAAATTTGCACAGTGTTTTTGAATTTTTGAAGGTTAGGTTTGTGTCATGGCTAAATAGTATGATTAACAAGAGGAGTGAAGAGGATTTTGTTTGTGAAAAAATGCTATAAACTATATAATATATACAAAATAGTTTATAAACAACTGTTTCCAAAAGTAAACATTTTGTTAGTCATGATTTCCACACGCAGTTGTCTTGAAAATTGATTTGTATTTAGAAAATGTAATATATTTGATGGTTAGGTTTGTAACTAGACTAACTAAAAATAAATATTTTTACGCCTTAAGACTTGGAAACCTATAATTATTGTTGCCTTGGAAATCAATTTTTATTTACAAGATATTAATTTTGAAGGTTAGGTTTGTGGCAAGACTTAATAAAGAGATAACACAGCAAACTAGACAGAATAAGAATCACTATAGACTAGTCTAGTCTATAGTGTAGACTAGACTATAGATTTGACTATAGATTAGACTATAGACTAGATTATAGACAACACTATAATAGATTATAGACTAGATTGTAGACTAGACTAAAGACTAGAGTTGACTCTAGACTATACTCTACAATAGACTTAACTATAGTTTAGACTATAGACTAGACTATAGACTTGACTATAGACTAGATTATATACTAGACTATAGACTAGATTATAGACTAGACTACAGATTGGACTATAGACTAGACTACAGACTTGGTTATAGACTAGATAATCGACTAGACTATAGACTAGATTATAGACTAGACTATAGACTAGGCAATAGACTAGAATATAGACTAGACTAAAGACTAGGCAGTAGACTAGACTAAAGACTAGACATGACTATAGTTAAGACTATAGAACAGACTATAGACTTGAATATAGACTAGACTATAGACAATATTATAGACTAAACTATAAACTAGATTATAGACTACTAGCTTATTACCCGCTACTTTGTTAGCGAGGGTTTTTATAGAATGAGAAATATGTTGGCTCTTCATTTAGCAAGGAAAAAATAATATGTTTTACAAAGATTACAAATTTTTAAATATTGGTAATTCCCTAATTTAAAGAAATGATGATTGTATATGTGTACTCAATTTTAAGTACTTAAAAGTCCACTTTTATAGATTCTCATTTACGCCGTGCTCTATATGCTTAATTTCATGTTTTTAGGTTGAATTTTATAGAAAACTCAAAAAGTACCAATCGAAGGACGAAAAAGTGCCAAAAAGTTCACTTTTATAGATTCTCATTAACTAAGGCCTCTGCATGCTTAATTTCATGTTTCTAGGTTTAATTTTATGGAAAACTCAAAAAGTATCAGTCGAAGTACGATAAAGTACCAAAAAGTCCCCTTTTATAGATTCTAATTTACTCCAGGCTCTACATGCTTAATTTTATGTTTCTAGGTTAAATTTTATAAAAAACTGAAAAAAGTACCAGTCGAAGAATGAAAAAGTACAAAAAAGTCTCCTTTTATAGATTCTTATTTACTCCGGGCTCTACATGCTTAATTTCATGTTTCTATGTTCAATTTTATAGAAAAATCAAAAAGTACCAATCGAAGAACAAAAAAGTACCAAAAAGGTCCTCTTTTATAGTTTCCAATTTACTCCGGGCTCTATATGCTTAATTTCATGTTTTTAGGTTCAATTTTATAGAAAAATCAAAAAGTACCAGTCGAAGAACGAAAAAGTACCAAAAAGTCCCCTTATATATTCTCATTAACTAAGGGCTCTGCATGCTTAATTTCATGTTTCTAGGTTTAATTTGATAGAAAACTCAAAAAGTACCAGTCGAAGGACGAAAAAGTACCAAAAAGTCCCCTATTATAGATTTTCATTCACTCTGGGCTCTACATGCTTAAATTCATGTTTCTAGGTTAAATTTTATAGAAAACTCAAAAAGTACCAGTCGAAAGACGAAAAAGTTCCAAAAAGTCCCCTTTTATAGATT